TTGCTCTGGCAAGTAGAGACTTCCCTAAAAGTAGAGCTTCTTTGTACTAATGTAGAGATTCTCTGCGTGGTTTTGGTTATGAGCAGACTAATTCAGTGAGAGGCAAAAAGCTGTTGAGAAAACCAAACACTTGAGTGAGGGGAAGAGATGGTTCCCATGGAGAAGAAAGCCTGTGTGTATGACTGATCCTGCTACAGCATTTCAGTAGAGAACATCAGAGGCAGAAGGCTGGGAGGCAGCACTGGGGCATCCTCAGCTGCCACCTGAGGACAGCAAGCCTACCGCTTGATTCTTGTCCTAATATCCTCCACCAGAAGTGTTTGTCCTTGCCACAGCTTGTTTATTGAATCACACCCATAAATGTGCATTGGTAGTAATAAACACCTCTGTTATTTTGAAAGTAGCAGTTGATAATTATAAAGTGCTTGCTCTGAGCTCGAGCTGCTCAGAGCATCCCTCCTGCCTCATGTGAGCTACCCCCACTCGTTGCATCACATCTAAAATTAGGTAAGATGCTGTATCCTGTGAATTGCAGGGCTCAGTAGCTCAGAGCTGCAAGAGCTGGACCAGGCAGAGCTGCACAGCTCCTCAGGAAATGTTTTCAGACAGATCACTGATCAGAGAGATCACTTTATGATGATCAGAAGTGTTACAGAGGTAAAGCAGCCTTCACATCCAGGAGCTCCAGTTCAGCCAAAGAAAAATGGGAGCTAGTTCTATTTCTTTTGGTATGTCTTTAGCTCTGTATTTTCTCAACAATTTGTGGGGACAGCACAGCTGTCAAGAGCTCTAGAGGTCTAGAAACATCTATTTAGGCCAAATTCTTCCCTGAGGTAGTTGCGCTGCTTTCATTGTAATCATACCAGTGATGAATGTGGCTCTTCTTCACTTAGGAACAACAAAAGAGCTCATGAGATTAAACATTCTTTCAGTGCTTTCCTTCTGATTAAAGCAAGTTTTAGTACTTAGAAAATGCTGTGGGCTTAAAAAATGGCTGTATTCTTCATCCTGCTCTGAAGTTTTGCTTCACTGTCCCAGACTCAGCCCATAGCATCCATGCAATTTATTTTAGAAGCACTGTATTCCCAGTGCACTGCTATTCTTTAAACATCTGGTGCCCTTAAAAATAATATTTTAAAAACACTAATCCGGGGAGAGAAGGGTTAAAATGTGAAACTAGAGAAGAACAAACTAGGGAAAAGAAATTCTGACAGAAACTTCAAGCAGCTAAGAAGTACTGGAGCTGTCAAATCATGCATTTTGGATCTGAGCTGAATCAAATCACAGAAGCGCTTTTTCAGTGCTTCGTCTGAAAGCAATTTAGCTTTTCTATGTTAGCAGATTATGCTGTTTTCAACAGTTGTTGGAGAGATGACTGATGAAAAGCATTTTCATTGTGGGTGTGCTTCCAAGTACAGACAGAGCTGTGGCACTCAAATCCCGGTTTCTTACCCTGATCTCTCCTGAGGCTGTGGGTAAAGGGTCTGTCAAGCTCTGTGCAGCACTATTCCCTCAGACCCAGCTTCAGTGTGGCTCTTGGGACCCCAGACTTGAGTGTATGGGATGGCTTTGTGGTTTTTCAGGGTACATGCTCAAATCATGAAGGGATTGGAAAGGGTAAAAAAACCCCACAGAACTCTGAGCAGGAATCAGCAGAAGATGGGGGCTGTATTGGGGCAGTTGGTGCCAGGACTTCAGGATTAGGCATCCTGAACCTGGATCACATGTGAGAATCAGCCCATGGCTCCATGAACAGAGGATAACTGCAATGTAAGCACTGGCAGTGCAATCTGTCCCTGTGTTAACTGAGTTTGGAGGCTGGTCTGTGATAGTTTTAACTCGGGTGCAAATCAAACTCTGCCCCTGGTTCTGTCACAGTGTAAGTGCTGCAAGGTAGCACTCAGTAGCAACAATGACACTTTGAGAACCTCTAAGTTATGAATGACATAATAAGCCAATTGACAGTGAAAGGCAAATGTACTAAGTTATGAGTAATGACATTTCATATGTGATCTGTCCTGCATTCCTCTGGAGTCAATGAAAAAGAGGCAACAGTGAAATCAAAGCATGTCAAGAACTTGCAGTCATACACATGGTTGAATCCAGTTACTGTTGCCTACCATTTTAATAAAAGAAATACTGCAAAGTTACTTCAGATTTCATTGGCCTAGATGGTCTTAAAATAATGCAGGAATTCACAAATAAATTAGTTTTCTGCAGACAGCAGAATTTTTCCACTAGAGCAAAGGTATTTGGAGCCCTAGTTGTGTGTTTACTATCAAATGTGTATTTTTGGGCCTTCTTCTACCAGAACTGCAGTAAGCCTCCATCTCCAAACTCAGCAGCTATATTTATCCATGGACCATGTTTTCTGCTGCAGTATCAGTGACCTTGCCTGTAATTATTCTTCACAGGGGAAGCTTAGCTCAGTCCTCCAAGTACTGCAGTAACTCTGAACAAAAATAACCCTAAAGTTCACAACAGGAAACGTTAACAATGGCAGGATTACTGGCCACCATGTCACCGTAAAATAAACGAGCAACTGAGAGGGAGTTCAGGGAAAAGCAGCACTGCACTTAAGTAACAGGAGGGACTGACTTATGAGGAAAGATTAAATGAGCTAAGCAATGATGAAAGGGTGAATGGAACAACTGCCTCCAAATGTTTGAAAGAAGAAACCATCCAGGACAGGGAGGGATTCTCTAAGCTGCTGCCAGGAGTTAAGAGTAATGGAAAGAAACCAATAAAATGAACACAGCAGTCACCATAACTATTTCTTCAGCTCAGAAAAAGAAACCCAGTGCTTTTGTCAGTATGGAAACCTTGCTCGTTTGTCCTGTTTTATTTCTTAGCCATATCCCAAAAAGCATTGGGGGGAACATTTAAAATTATGTAATGGTGCGATATTGCTGAAACATTTTAGGCTGGCAGCTCTGAAGGACTGTGAGGGAGCTGTGCTGGCATCCTCTTCCAGCTCCTGTCTCACTCAGACCCTCATTTCTTGAGGTGCCTCAGAAAGCCTTGAGGTTTCAGCTGAGAAAAGCAGCTCTGCACAACAAAGCACTTAAGCAAACACTTCAGGCAAATGAGGAACCAAACTCCCACAGCTATAAATCACATTGATGATTCCCAAATGAGGAACCTGAGTCTGCCCTCAGCAGTCCCTGTAGCAGACGGTCACAAAGTACACCAAGTCAGAATTCCCCACAGCTATCCCTGGCAGACCTTTGGTTCACATCCTGATGTAGTTAATATTTTTGCAGCAAAACAGCTGTGAGGCATCATGTTGTGTTTGTTTTCATTAACTCCTCCCCAGTGGGCTTATATATTTGTATTTCCTTGTTTACATATTTGTAGTGTCCCGAGGGGGATACACACACTACCCCTAAGGTTAGGGGCAAGTTATTGGAGGGCAAGTACTTTCCTCTGATGCAGAATTTGTCCTGTCTCTTTGCTCTGCCAGAGATGTAAATCTTTCTGAAAATATTAGACCGAAGTCCCTTTAAACATGTGGTTTCTTTCAGCAGCAGTTTTCAGACTGCGCTTTTTGAATTGCTGGGCCAGAAGTTTGTGTTTCCAATTGTCACTCTCTGAGACACTATTCCATTGTTAATGCAGTCCCAGGCGCTTTACAGCCTGGTCTCTTTATAGTCGTTCCACGGCACTGCGTGCTGAGGTCCAGATCCTTCCATCACAATTTGTGCTGTCATTCTCCCGACGCGGCGCGAAGCCGCCCGCCCGCCCGCGCGGGGACGGCGCCTCGCGGCTCCCCCGCCCGCCGCTGCTTCTCACGGCACTGACCGCGCTCCGTGCGGGCCATGGAGCAGCCCCGGCCCGGCCCGTCCGTGCGGCTCCCCCAGCCCCCGCCTCGCCGCTTCTCCGGCGGGCGCGTCCGGAGGTACCCGCGGCTCCCGGCTCCCGTTACCGGCGGCTCCGGGGCAGCGGGCGGAGCGCGGCCGTCCCTCCCAGCGCCGCCGCCGGGCCCGCGGGGCTGCCGGGCACGGCCCGACCGGCGCCCCCCGGCACCCGCCGCGTGCGTCAGACCGGAGACGTGGCCCCGCGGCCGCGGGGGCGGAGCGGCGGCGGGCGGAGCGCGGCTGCGGGCGGTCTCCCGGCCTTGCCCGGCCCTGCCCGCCGCACTGAGCCCCGCACCGCGCCGCGGGATGTTCGCGGTGCCGCCCGGCCGCTGCCGCCCGTGACCCCGAGCCGCACGCCCGGCCGAGCACCAGGTAAACGCTGCCGCGCCCGGCTGCCTCTCCCGGGGCGCTCCGCTGCCCGCGCCGGGGACGGGGCATCGCCACGGGGAGGGGGCCCCGGGGGGCCGCGCGGGAACGGAGGCGCCCCGCCGGGCTGGGCGCTGCGCCCCCGCGGGGAGAAGAGACGGGGCCGGGCCCGGCCCGCGGCAGCCGGGGCCCGCCTTTGCCCGCCGGCGGCACCGGCGGTGCCGCTTCCGAACCGGGGCAGTGCCCGAGGAGCCAAACTTTATCTGGGATCGCCGTGGGCTCCTCTCCCGCGGAGGAGCGGCCGCGGAGGCCCCCACGCCCCATCCATCCCACTGCATCCCCTGCCGGGCGGGGCAGCCCCGGGGGTTCCCGGCACGGCGGCGGCCCGGAGCCACGCGGGTTTTCCCGGGAGCGGGGCCGCCGAGGGGCTCTGGTGGGAAACGGTCGCCGTGGAGACGGGCGGCTTGGGAAAGCCTTTGGGCGGAAGGGCTTGGGGAAAGCTCGCGGCCTCATTTTCCGCGATAACAAGCCCCAGAGCAGCCCGCATTTCGGGGAGGATGCGAGCAGGACGGGGAGGCGGCGGTCCAGCCGCGCCCGCCGGTCCTTTCCCCGGGGGCTGCTCCGGCGTCGATATCTCCGTTTTTGAAGGGATTAAAAAAAAAAAAAAAAATCTCGATTTTATATCGGCTTAAATATCGGCTTAAAACCAGCTCTGCCTTGTCGCAGAGTGATGGGCAGTTTTGCCGATTATTCACCAAGTGCAGTTTGTCCAGTTCATTAGAAAGAGTTGACCAAGCAAAATGAGACGCTTATGAAAGACCACTGAATGTATCCTGCCTGAATTTTATGAGAGTTAAAGTCTTTATAAGTAAGGACTTCTATTGCTAAGGTAAGTATGTCACTTATGGTTAATCTTTTTAATTATTTCTTTTTTTTTTTTACTTTTGGAGTTAGTACTTCCTGTGATGAGGGATTCAGTATTATTAGCACCACTGTTTGAAGACAACCACGTAATGTTTGCTCCCACAAAGCACTGTAGGTTTGAATGATGCTGGAAAAGATTGTACGGGCAGAAAAGTGCTTTGCAAGATAGTGGAGAAAAACATGACAACATTGAAAATAAATAATAATTTTAAAATCTCCCTTCCCAATTCAACCAATTATGCATCTTACCTTCTCCACCCATCGCCCCCTTCCTGCCTCCGGGTGTATTAGAACTGCTTTTACTTTTCTTTTTGGTATGATGAAAGCAGTCAAGAGGGTAGCACTCCCCTGGGCTCACTTTTCTTCTAGAAAAACCTGTTTGCTCCTGTGGTGCAGATCAGCGTGGAGAGCTGGGCCAAGCACAGTTCTGAGATGATCCCTAATTTTAACCTGGCCTTGTATTCCTGCTGTCTCACAAGTGCCTGTGTCCCAGGGCTGCCAGCAGGGCACAGCAGCCCGGTGCTGAGCACCTGTGGTTTGTGAATCATTTCCTTTTCCAGCTACTTTCTGAGTTTGCTAAATTTGTGACATCCGTGCTGCTGTTTTCTTCCAGTCTGAATACTGACAGGCCCTGCTAGAGGTTTTGCCATAGTATAACATTCTGTGTGTTTTATTTGTTATAATTTACTCTTGTAAGCAGTTTTAGAAATAAGCTTTCTGATGGAAAGGATAAAATCTATTTGCTTTGTATGCCCAGTATTGGAAAAGGATAGTGGTGGATTTCAGTGAAAAATGAAATCAGAGACTGCTAAATTCTCCTTCCAAGCGCTCACTCAGTGCTTTGTGCCATCCTGCAATCAGTTCCTGTCGCAGTTGCAGTTGATTTCCTGAGGCAGCCTCATCCCACCTCGGTATCTGGCTTTTGGGGCCCACAGCGAGGAGCTGTGACCGGGAGGGGGGGCAGCATCCGGGCTGGGCAGGCCGGAGCCTTGAACAATGCTCAGGTGGCCTCAGGGCCCGAGGGACAGCACAGGGACACCCAGAATAATGGACTGGGTCACGGTGCTGGGAGGAGCAGTTCCCCTGATTGTCCACTGACCTCAGCTGCGACTGCTTGAAGTGGGCCATATTCACGGCCACAAAGGCACTTCCCATCCCAAGGCTTTCTGAGAGCTGTGGGAAGTAAAAAAAAAAAAACACAACTCTGTTGCCGTCCAAACAATTCACAATAAGAGGAGCTAGAGTTCAATTTTATAGTTTTTTCCTCTTTAAGGAAACCTGGTAGAAAGATGCTGTCTGCATTGTCAGAGTTGTGAAGGGCAGGGGAGGGCTGGCTGTATAGTAAAAGAAACACTGAAAATGAAACAATTGACTTCAGGGAAAAGAAACCTTCTAAATACTTTAAAGCCTTTCTTTAAGTCAAAGAAGCCATTCTCCTTCCAAAATAATTTGTCAAAGAACTGTTAACAAGTGTTGGATTTCACATGCTCAACATAATGGAAACTTTACTCTCTTCTTCATCCTTGAGCTGTTCACCCATGGATTTTGTGCAACAAAACTCTGTTGCAGATTCAAGCCATAGTGCAGTGACTTTGTTGGGTTTGTGTTTCTAGGACCTCGTTCTGGTTAGGAAGATACTAGGTTTGATTCAGCCTCTTGGCCACGTGTGACTGTGTCATTTGTTCCACTGCTTTCATTCATAACACAGGGCAGGCCCTTCTGCCTTCCCATCCCCAGGCAGGCAAAGTGTGTTAGAGCTGTCTTTCGACCTGTCAAACCCTAGGTAAGCTTTCTGTCGCTGTATTCATTCTGCATTTTAGTGCCTGGCACATGCAGCTAATCAGACACAGCATAAACTTTACAACTGTCGTTCAGAGAGTCGTAGGTTTGGACCAGAGTGAGGGTTTGTTCAGAATTTTTCCAGTACAGAGTTTTTGTACAGTCTCTTTCTCCCTTGAAGGATTGATTTACAATCTGGTGTTTGATCTGGTCAGATTCTTAAAAGGTAGGATAATGCCATGCATGTGCTTTGCACATTTCCCACTTGTTCGGGAGAATTCTGCCATAAGGATGGTAGGATTCTCCCAAACAAGGATGCCATAAGGATGTATGTTTTTTCTTGGTTTTAAAGTGAAACAAAGGCCTCCCCTGCAGCACAGGATGGCACCGTTCTCCAGGGCAAGTTGCTAATGCGCTGTTATGATGAGTGTATAAAGTTCCACTGAATTTGAACCAGAACATGTAAAAATATTTGGTTCTGTACCACAGTATTAAAAATCCATTTCTCTCTGTCAAAGTAAACTTTTAACTTTTCCATTGACTTCCAGATGAGCAGAATACAGCCTTTTATACCAACTTCTCATCCTGGGTTGACCTACCATGTGCTGAAAATGGAGATGCTAGCTCACATCTCCCTTTGGTGGCAATAGTACATAGTGACTTTCTATTGATGAAATAACCTAAATTCAACAACCCTACAGTAAGACTGCCAGCATGCTGAGAACATTTCCAATTTTATTTACTTATCACTGAAAGGAAGGTGGGAGTTTGGACTAATTGCTTGCTCTGGAGCGTATGGAGAAGCAGAGTGTCTTACACTGCTGCAGCGTGCAGCAGTGTAAGATCCTGATACTTGTGCCATTTACAGCAGAATGCAACAGCTCAGAAGTGCAGGTTGCTGCCAGAGGGTTTGGTGCTCTGAGCAAGGACCATTATAGATCACATTTTCCAGCTGATGTGAATGTTTGATGAGCTGTCTCAGGGGTAGGTAGTTTTCACCAGTGTTCACAGACAGTATTCTCTGAAAAGCCCCTTTTTAAGTGTAATGTGACTAAAAAGAGTATTTGCTCTTTGCAGTCATTTAACCATGATGACATAATTTCAAAGACTTGCACACCTGCTGTAGTGTTCTCAGAATCCCCTCTAGCAACTGCTTTTATCTCACAGTTTAGGCTTGGTGGAAACTGCATTTTTTTCTGTTTTGTGCACCAACAGACTTTTTGGTGGAATGAGGTTGCAGCTAATCCCCCTTTGGTGGTCTATGGATGGACACTGTCCTGGAAAGGTCTGGTAGAGAAGGTAGTCATGGTTTTCCAGTTCATGATCTTTAAAATCATCCTATGTGAATACCAATTCTGATTCTGCAGTTACTAGTGTATCTCTTTGAGTGGGTGTAGATCATGTGCAATTTACGTGTTTTAATTTATCTATTTTAGTCTTATTCTTTCAGGGATATGGATGAGACCATAAGTTTATTTTTATTGTCAGGGATTTTTGTAACAAAGGATGATTTGGAGGAAGAAAATCCACCAACTGCTTCAGGCTGAGAATAGCTTTATGTTTATCAAGATGTTTTGGGATCCATGTTTTATGAGACTATCATTAAGTTTTATAAAGTTCTTTTGTGTTGAAGGCAAGTAGGAGCAAAAAAGATTCTTTATATGAAAAAGTCTCCCAAATCATGAAAACACGAATTCTTTAATGTTTTTGGCTCACTCACTGCATAACATGTTTTTAACTAACTTGTCAGATGATTGAGCTGCTTAAGACTCAGAATGGACCTTTTGTGCTTCCTGTCCCAATTAGGAATTAATTTTTAATTATATCAGCTGAACATTTTTAAATATGAGCACTTGTATTAGCCTCAGGTGCCTATTTTTTGGATGAGGAATGGCACTGATTTGTGTACTATTGTCTGTTCTGAGACATTTTAACAGCATTGTTTCTGTCTTCATTATCTGAGTATGTTAGATAGTGTTTGTGGAAAACCTGGTATAACTTTGGTTAAAACTTGATGTGATTTTATTGTTTATATTTGTCTCAATTGCTTAGATTTATTTCAGGAATACAAAAATATCACTTACTGGATTGTTACTTGCTGCTTTGGTTTGCTGTTAAAAGCTTTTACTCACATGAAAACCATTTTGCAGCTCTGGAAAGAGAGCAGGCATCTCGAGTGATAGCCCTGATAAACAAAGAATGTTACTCTCAGAGCTGAAAAATGGTAAGTATTGCCTTTGAAGTAGTCTTTGACGTGGAAATGTGTGGAGTGTACTTCTCTTTAGATTTGGAGAAATAGCTCAGCAAAGCCAAGGCTCCACACAGGCCCATGTGCTTGGTATGGAAAGAACTCCTGTTGATTTCACTGACTTTATCTGGCAGAATCTTGCACTGAACATTTTTTTGTATTTAGTCCAACCAAGCTGAAGTCAAAGAGCTGCTGACAATAGGAAGTCTTTTTGATGTGTAATACATGAAAAAGTGCTATGACTCAGTTGGAACTAACAACAAGGTTATTGTCTGGGATTCATTGCCAAAGCAGCACTTACTGTATATGTAGGTGGAAATTGCAACATATATTTTGAAATGCAGTTTATTAAAGTCACTTCCTCTTTATGTCCTTTATATCTTCTTTTTATAACCTTTATGTCTCCTCTGGGTTCGGGTCTCTGAGCTTCCACTGGCACAGCAGATGGTACCAAGAGCAGAGCAGGGGCATTTGCTGCTGCCTCTGAATGCCCCCACGCTCTCCCCTGGCTGTTAGGCAGGAGAGCAGCTGAAACCTGACTGGATGTTCGCAGTGTGGGCCTCAGGAGCTTGGAGGGAAAGGAGTGGACTAGGTATTCAGCATGTTTCTGGAAGTTACACCCTTTCCAGTTCTCTCCAGCACTAAATTCCCCGTTGGCATCTTGCCCACGGTTGTGGTCCTGCAGAGTTGCAGCTCTGGGGGAGCTCGGTTCTGGCAGCTGACATAAAGGAACACAGCTTTCCAGCTGTTGGATGGGACCTTGCTGGAGTTCAGGTGGCACAGTCTACCTGTCCCCAGTCAGTGCACCTGAAAATGAAACCCCTTCCCTACTCTGAACAGCTGTCACACAGGGGACACGTGTTTTGTAGAACCACCAAACTATGGGTATTTGAGTAATGTCTTCTGTGAGCTAATTGTATTTTGTCTGTTCTCCAGAT